GTATCACTATCAGAAGCAGTGGCGCTAGCAGTACCAGGTAAAACCATATTGGGTTTCTTGCTAAAAGAAGACCCCGCCGGGGAATCAGCAGGCCTCTTGGACGACGATGTAGGTGTCTCCATATTATTACCGCTAGTTGAAAAATTATTATCGAAGTTATCGACGTGCTGGTGATCAGTACGCAATGGTCGGCTCGAGTCAGTGTTATTTGTTGATTTTGTTGTGGCGGTATCAGCTGGTTCTGCATTACCCTCGGACTCTGCTCCTTGTGCGTCGTTGTCCTTTTGTTCTACAAATAAACGTCGTCACAGAGTTAGATTATATTATACACATTTACTGAAATTGTAATGCATGCTTACCTTGTTGTTCACGACCGCACTGTGGATATATTGCGCTATTACTGCCAGTAATCGCTTCGTGTGTACGTTCTGCTATGTTTTTGAGTCCAAGGCCAACAATTGTGGCAATGTTACCATAATATTTATCGGTAGTATTCATTGCTGCCAACATTGATTTTTTATCTGCCTCCCATACTTGATCTTTTGTCGGGTTGGTCATATTGTTATAATCCACATCGTGTTGTAACGTGACCTTGTCCATTTCAGTTTTTGGTAACGAACATCCAATAAACTTATTATTCGCATCATATAACTTATTACCCGGTCCTGTATACGAACTGCCAAACCACGTGATACCACCATTATCACACGCCGTCTCTTGATTACGAATTTTTTCATAGGTTTCTGCATTTTTGCTTCCAACCACGGGTGCCTGACCCAGAAGACCGGTACACATAGTTAAACCTGCAGATGCCATTGCGGACAACACACTGATCGTTTATATCACCGGTTCATTTGTTTTTATTGTGATTTTACATTGCCGCCCGTTTATGACGTCATCGCGTGAGGAAAAGAACTGGGTGCTTGCTCAAATTATTCTATAATTTCGACCACGATGACGACGACGACGACATACGCGGGTCCCCTCCTCTCTGTGCCATTACTTTTGCCGCGTATGTACTGCGGCCGCCCCTTCGGGGGCCATTTGGTCGATGCTTAGTACGTTAATGCGGCAAAAGTAATGGTCGACGGTCGTGTCGGTCGAGAGATTAGAGTAAGGATATTGTAATATTATATTTGACATTTTTATAGATGTTTCACGTTTTAACTCTTTTTATTTATATTTCCGCTACGCACTTTCGGTAGTCGGATTCTCAGAACTACGCACCCGGTTTCTTATTGCGTCGTTGTTCTTAAATCCCCGAGGTCGACAACTTCCTCATGTGAATAATCTCATATTATGTCCCCCTCGCTATTTAAGCCTTTAAATATATGCGTATGTGGCGGGACGTCAGTACATAGCAGTAATAATATTTTTTCAAATAGTTAATATATAATATGAATAAAAAGGTGCCAATGCCCAATGTTACAAGTTAGTTATATAATAGATAAATCTAGGAAAAAAAGCCCAGGACAACATTCATTGGAAAAAAGAGCCCCGTACCAACTAAATACATTATTATTTTTTATTATGATTTACATAATTAAATATAATCATAATATAATCATTACATTTATCAATATACCTAATACTTCTTTAACATAATATCTATAACCATAAAATATATAATATTCTAAAATACTAGTTTGATATTTTGTAAATTAATAAACTGTTAAAGTGTTAAAACATAAATGTTAACAATTGTTTTTCATTAATTATTATATTATTAGGTATGTATCTAATTTAATATTTATTATACTAGACAATAGCCTAACCTAACCTAACTTTAATCTCTTATATTTCAAATGTATATTTATATCTATAGTTTGATAAATATTTGGTGTATTATTTTATTAAATATTATTATGATGTAATATGTAAACCTATATAAAAATTATAAACTATACATATATAATATATTATATATATGGTTATAGAATATACCTATGTCCAAAAAAGGTTAGGTTGCCTATATACAAATATTAAATCATAAAATGTACACTATAATGAAAATGCGTTATGAATTTAGTTAGTATAGGGCTTTATTTTCCTATAGGTGGGGCTTTTTTTCCGAATACCTAATAGATATAGGTAAATTATAATTTATTTTTTATGTTAACAGATTATTATGCTTTTGAGATATCTTGCTGATCTAACATGTAGTAGGTCGTTTATATAAGTAAGCGTTTTGTTAGGAGCATACATTTATACAACTAAAAACATGATGGCTTTTTTGTACTTAAACTTAAAAGAATAGTTTGTTGGTAAGACATCTAATTTTTTCATATTTTTAAGGATAAATATTATTTTTTATAATCACATTTTTATATGATCATCTTTTACTTATAATCAACCTTCCAAACTTGAACAATTATTCATATTTCACTATATTTTGAAAAATAATATTTAATGACATATATTTTGTTTTTTTAGTGGATATCTTAACATCTGAAAGTAACCAAAATTCAAAAACCAAATATAATGGACTTAGACCTAAAAAGTCTTGTGTCTTGAAACAATCATCTTACTCAGAAAGTTCGGTGCACTCTGATTATGATTCAGAATCTGACTATTTACCACCAAATATACATTTGAATTGTGATTCAAGTGATGAAATTTCTTATAAATCAGACATCAATATAGATCAGCTTAATGACATTCATTATTCCGATATATCTCAGCCATCTACTTCACATACTCATTAAATCAAAAAGACATACTCAATAATGAAGTCATAGAATCAACTAAAATAATGAAAAAAATACTTTTGCGTTTACGTTAATTATACATGACATTGTAGTATTGTACGTAGTACGTATGGTAGTCATTGATTATAAATAGTATAGTTGATATAGCCAGGGTCGGATCGCGGACTAGGCCTCCGGCTACTTTGGACCCCCAGACTTCATGTCCAATGTTCATATTTTAAAATTAAATAAGATTACCATTTATTTAGTAACTGTATTTAAACATACAACATGTCTTAACATTTTAAAGGGCTCCTTATTGATTTTAGATTTATAAAATAAATTAATATTATTTCTAAGAAAAAGGGTCTGACAGTATTTTTTCCATTCGTAGATTCGATTGGTTTTATTTGTTTAGTCGTAATAATAGTTATTAATAAATATTACTGATAACTACCAAATAGCTATTATTAGCGTTACATTATTATTTAATAATATAAATAAATATACAAGACTGGCACGCACGCCCGCGTGGCCGCGTCAACTCGTTATTGACAGTCTGCTATGAGTGTCACAACTCACAGTTACCTACTATAGTTATTTAAACGATTTAATTGTTTTATGTCTGTGGATTGCTTTCCACAATTCCGCATTTTTATCTTGTTGTTGCAACATATTACAAGTGTATTTAAATTCTTGTTTTTTTTTGTAATTTTTATTTGCCTTACGGTTTGAACTAAAATGAGTACCAAATTAAAAAGTGGTTCAGAAAAACGGCGCCTAAAAGATCAAAAAATGCTAGTCAAAGCCGGTTCTGATCCCAAACAAAAGAAGTTATCATTTTCAAAAGAAGTCGAAATCACAAATGTCAACTCAAACGATTTCTCTGGTTTTTCAAATGAAGACAAAGTTACCATTTCGTCTGAATCAGAAGTAGGTCTATTATTAATTAATTATTATATGATATAATATTAAAATTTATTTACACAAATATGTATTTATTAGAAGAAACAAGACACAGATAAAATTTGTGAACCAGTGTTAAGAACCCATGGCTATTATACAGTTTATTTCGATACATCTATATGTTAATAAACATATAGAAGTATTTCTTTATAATCAAAATGCAGAGTGTGTGTCGTACGACGCTGCTACCGTGGGAACCGCTGAATAAGGGTTTTTGATGTGACACGGGGCACCGTCTCGACGACACACAGGGGGTCAGTCAGTCGTAGTTAGAACCGAGCATTATACATAACGTATGTTTAGCAAGAGCATTTTACATTTATTTTACAATTAGTCGTAATATAACCAGTGTTTGTTTCACAATATACAGCTATACTTAAATCGTTTTTTACTAACAATTTAATAAAATACATTCATTATTTTAATATTAAATTGGTGCGTACGTTTATTTGGTGTTGTGCGTAAAAACCATAACACCAGATTTACCAGTTGTTTCTGATCAAAACAAATACATTTGTACTTCAATGTGAAAATCGAAAAGTGTATACAGGAAACAATATATGAAGTTAAAGAATCTACTACCCGGGAATCTAGTTCAACTTCTGTTTTTGGTAACGTTGCATTTAAATTTTTTTATCATGCTAGATCATAAAAATTCAATAGAAATAAAATTGCCTTTCTTAAAAAATCATACAATTCTGTGTTCAAAATAAAAAAAACACTATAATTACTACAAAAGTACCTATTATTATTATCAAAAAATATTTTAAAATTGTTATTACAATATTTTAGGTGATCATCCAGTGGCATCAACTAGTGAGAATGTTCATAATTCAGATTTGGTTAATTGTATAGATGATTTGGATCTTGATGTTATTTCTAATAAATGTGCATCTGATACAATATTTAATGAAGGTAAGAGTAAAATTTGCAATTTTTTATAATTTTTTACTTGTATATCATTTATTCTTTGCTTTAACTTGATGCATATAACTTAGCTAGTTAATTACTAAGTTCTCATTAAGACTGTTTTTATATTACTATTTACTATTGTTTTGAAGATAAAAACATGACAAATTACGTACGTAATTAAATATTATTACAAATACACACTTACATACTTTTATGTTACCCATGTAAAAGTATTAAAACATAGTTGATTACATTGTTAAATTTAAGTTTTTAACAGTTGTTTTACAATATTAATAATACACTTACAAGTGTCATTTTAAATTTTTGCCTAACCTTATGTCTAAAATAATAGTAACCATAGTAAAGTAAATTTTAATTAATTTAAAAATAAAATAAAATTGTCTTAAAAATAATATGTGCATCAAAATTTAATTTTCAAAAAGGTATGTCATACTGCCACTCTCTCCTATATTATTTAATTAATGTAAGACTTGTAGATGTAAATATTTTAAAATTTTTATTACAATATTTTAGGTGATCATCCAGTGGCATCGACTAGTGAGAATATTCATAATTCAGATTTGGTCAATTGTGTAGATGATTTGGATCTTGATGTTATTTCTAATAAATGTGTCTCTGATACAATATTTAGTGAAGGTAAGAGTAAAATTTGCAATTTTTTATAATGATAAATTCATCTATACAGTATGCCCCAAAAGTCCCGTATCACCCTTAATATCTCCATGTAAAATCACTATATTTAAACGCGGTTTTTTTTACAGTACTAAGTATGAAAATTCTGATTGAATGGCATAAAATTCATTTTTTTTTTTAAAAAATTCAAAAATTTTCAAAAAAATTTTTTACGCATTTAAGAATTTAAAATTTTTAAGATAGCCATTTTGTTGAACATATTTTTTAAAACAGTTCAAAAAAAAAAAAAACTAAAATTAAATAAAAATTGACCAAGTTAGAGCAGGTTATGTTTTTGAATAATTGTAGTAAAAAAATCAATTATTGTTTCACATTTCAATAATGAAATATCTAATTTCAACACACGACAATACTTTTGTATTCCTAGTTAAAGTTTTGATTTGAATAGAAATAAAAATAGCCGTGTTATATCGTTTGCTGAACAGTGAAACTGGTTACCTATTTTTAAGTATTTTAATTATCATGAAGTGAACCTAAAGTTACGGTATTGGACATAATCTTACAGTTATAATTAATGCGATTTATAATAAAGATAGAGCTAGTTGAGTAGAG